CAATGCACCAAAAAAAAAAAAAAGACTGAGTGAAAGAAGGCTGTTAGTTGTCTGTTGATATGGACTTAATCAGCAGTGAACAGCCATAAATATGAATCCAACAGTGTAAAACCAAATAATAAGCTAAACTCTAGAGTACACTTGGAATATGAATATTACAACTAGTAGACTACTATTGCTCATACTTAGAGTTGATGGGTTTGTTTAAATCCTTTACCCCAAGTATGACACTTTGGCACACAACTCTTCCCCCATGATTTGTGCAACTAAAATGAAATAACATGAACCTTAAACTGTGTTGCTTTTTGGGAAGGTATTCTGTTACTTTAAGCGATAGGATTTAATTACAGTGCTTTTAAAGCAGTCCATACAGTGCTTTCAAGGCACAGCAGTTCATCTATTAAAGCCTAAAACCTAAACACCATTTCTTTTGCTACTTTCTTTATATCTGCAAATCTACTTCTCAAGCTTATTTAAAGGGTTAGTTCGCCCAAAAATGAAAATTCCGTCATTAATTACTGACCCTCATGTCGTTCTGGAGTTTTGGTGAGTATCCACTAAATGCAAACAGCGTATGTTGTTCTGTGTCAGCCGCAACACACAGGACACAGAACAGCATACTTTGTTTGCGTTCAGTGGATACTCTCCAAAATGGCGCTAGGGTGACGCGGAGGAGACGAACTCTCCCATCGTTTTTCACAGAGAGAGAAAATCTTATCTCCAAATGGAGTATTATTTTTTCCAATCTGGACTTTTTTTATTCTTATTCGCTTTTCTAAAGATTGTTTGCCTTACGAATATTCTCACCCTACTCATTTCACTGTTCCTTACTTGCATTTGTTTTAAATAAGGTTGAAGTTATTCAGCACAGAAGCTGAGAAGCTTATTTAAAGGGTTAGTTCACCCAAAAATGAAAATTCCGTCATTAATTAATTTTTACCACTTATGGTCCCCCGTGGAGCAGGGATTGGCTGTGCATGCTGTTTATGCCACGTGCGATTGGTTGATGAAGCCATCTGACTTGAAGCGTGATTGGTGGATGGGATTAATCAGGGCAGCGCGCTGAGAGCCGTCCCGGTTCATTTTGCATGCGATTGTCACTTGCTGTGCAAGGAGGACATTTGATTGTATATTCAAGGCCGAGGCATTGAAGATTAGAATCCGTTATGTTTTATCAGGTGAATGTGTCTCGCGCAACATGCGGCAAAGCCAATCTCAGCATCCCAAGTAAACAATTTGCCATTAATCGCTCATCCTGTTCAAACAAATAGATATTGATTCTGCTTTTCAGCACTCGCTTGCCAGCAGATTTGTATCAGTGCTGCAGAAAAGGTATAAATTGTTTTTATATCTGGCCTTTATGTGGCGTAATGTATTAACTCGGGCTTTGCATGAGGGATGCTTCGAATGTAACGGTCGGAAGGGTTCAGTTGATATTAGGGTCAATGGTGTGACACCCATGTTCTTTTTCTCTGGGTTTATTAAGGTATTCAGAAATACATTAAATATATAATTCATGCATATTATTACACTTCTAATGATCATGCTTTCAATTTCTGAATTAAAATTGTTTGGTGTTTAAATTAAATAGTATGTGTGTGTCTACTTTTGTCTGCTACTTTAAAAAATCTTAATAAAATATAAATCATACACTGTAAAAAGGATTTTTCATAGCTGTAAATAAAACAAACATTTTGTGGAGTACAATTTACTTGAAAATGTCATGTTTAATTCAATGTGTTACTCATCATTTTTTCATAAATATTTGTGAAATTTACTAGCAATTACTAGAATTTTCTGAGTGAAAATTGTAGTGAAAAGTAAATCCTACACCTTTTTTTAGTGTATACATGCAATAAATATTCTTTAAATAAATACTACAAAGGCTATAACTCTTACCAAACCTTTGAAATGCATTTATTGTAATTTTTAAAAAATGTTATAAATGTAATGATATTCATAATAAATGATATTCATAAGAAAAGAAAAGAAAAGAAAAGAAAAGAAAAGAAAAGAAATGAAAAGAAAAGAAAAGAAAGACAACATAATATTTGACATTTATTTTCACCTTCTAAAAAACTGATGCAGTTTAAGGAAATATTTTATTTTTGGTGATGCATACATCAAACTGATCTTTACATTGTCTGCATGGACCATCTTCATGTAATATATGCTAAAATCTTTTGATGGACATTTTAAATATAGGCTATATCTGATTCTTTCTCACTTTCATTTCAGTTCTCATTTTCCGGGTAGAGCGGCACTGAGTGTAGAATTACATACCCTCCCCCGTACAATTGATTTGTGAGTAATTAAAAATGTCTGCAGCTGGACATGGTCCAGCTTCATGTTCTATTCATGCAGATTAATACATATTTGTCGGGGCCTCCGGGATCAGACAGGCAGCAATGTCTGCTATTAAACATTCATGAGGGAGCAGAACACAGGGACTCATATCCTTCTGGTATTTATGGGTCCATTTCTACATCTTTGTGCCATCATAATGGATTACGAAATCAGAACATTATTGCTTAGCAGGGATGGAAATTTAATTTGTGTCACAAAAAATTTATTAATAAATGGCTTTTTCTTGGGAATTACGCTCACATGGACTGTGCTCGTGTCTGTGTGTGGGTTTAATACAGGTGGCTGGAGTGGATGGGGCAACTGGGCGGAGTGCAGTAGTGAATGTGGAGGCGGAGTCCAGACGCGCACACGCACCTGTCAATCACCACCTGAGGAGGCATACCTGTGCGAGGGTGTTCTAGAAGAAGGTCGTCCCTGCAACTCTCAGCCGTGCATCGGTAAGTTGCTTTCTAGGCTCATGCACGTTGCACGTGACTGTTCGCATATCCACTTCTTCTCTAGCTGTCTCTCTCTATCACTATCTGACACCTCATTTTTTACATTATTCACATTTCACTGTTAAAAAAGATGTTCTGCTTCCTGTGTGACAAAATATAGAGCAATAACGATAATAAAATGCTAGACTGAAGATAGAATGAGCGTTTTTGTGTGCTTTTCATTGGACCCATAGGCTACAGGCAGTATTCCTCTAAAGGCAAGGGTTTAAGTCCAGTGAAATACAAGGAAATGCAAGAGGCCATGCTTGGTAAGGGCGTCACTGACCAAGTCAGTTTGAATGTGACTGTAGTGAGTAGATCTTCACTCAGTTTGGATGGAGGCCATGAGTAAATAACCCACTCCATGGTCAAGGCCATCGGCTGCAGATGTCTTCACCTCGATTGTCTGTGTCTCCGTTCCGCATGGTCTGCTTATTTTTCATTCGCCATCCACTGCTCGCTCCATCTTGCCCTCTATCTGCACACTTCCTGCCGTTTGTTGGTGTTCAAAGCACACGTTTCAAGGTCACGCAAGCCTAGAAGTGTCCAAACTCTCACAGAGTCTCGTGTTCGCATGGAGAGTAGTTTCAAACCAAACACAGGTTCACTTCTTCTCAGCTATGTAACCTTAAACTTCACACAAAATCCCAAGCATGGCTGATGCTGGTCTAGATGTTCAGGTCGCACAGCACTGGCCAATCAGAATTCGACTGTAGTTGCTAACCCCACCCCATCCTGCAGGCAGAGGCCGACTTGGCACTCGTAGCCAATCCCTGCGCTCGGTGGACAGCCGTAAACGAGAGGACTCTGATAAGACCCGCAGCGGACAGCAGTCTTCCCAAACAGGTAAGAAGACAGGTGGCATCAGCCTCCTCTGCAGCTTGGGGTCACACACACACATACACACACTTGCAACCGTTTCGCTCACTAGTCCACATACAGGGGAGTAGACTGGATGTGTATGTGGCTATGGCCTTGTTTTTTTATGCTCCTGTCAGTGTGATTTATGTTTTGTTTGTCTTTGTCATGTGTATTATGGCATGGTTCATGGAGGAACATTGAGATATCCATGAATCATGGACACCATTGCTTACAAGGAAGTTAAAAGTATTTGGAAAGGGTCGTAACCTCTTATTATGAAACAAACGAGAACAAGGCACACCTTGCTTGGGGGTGGTGATGTATGATTTGCATGCTTCAATATAAAAGACTAATATGATGTAATCCCTAGTATTTTGTCTTTTCTTTGTGAGCCCTGCATGAATTTGTCTTTCATTTTTACAGTTACACCGATATGAGCCTGTCACTTCAAAATAAATACAAATTTCCGCTATTTCATTCCAATGTGTTACAAATCAGAAATCACAATGAATCAATAAATAGAGGCTGTGGCATCATATTTAAGTTGTACATCAAAAAGAAAAAATCTGTTTTTCTATGAATCAGAAAGTATATTCAAAAAATGCTGTGCATGATTTTACCCGTGTTTATGTTACTTTCGGAAGCAGCATTAATAATATGTACACAATTTTATGCAAAATGCTAAACTAAATGGTACACAGACAAGTTGCGTACTGATGGTTTCAGAGATTAAATAAAACGCTCATGTATATGCATATTATTAAATATGCGTATGCAGGGTTTTAGTATGAAAACGAAAACATTTATTGCCCCTAATATTGTCAGAATAAGTGAAATCCTTCCCTCCTTAACACGTTTCATTTTGACATTCAATATAATTTTATTGGACATTCTTGATTCTCCATTTCGTTCCACTTGATGGTAATGATAGCCTAACTCTTTCTATTGGACAGCCATGTCAGCCCATATTATCTATTGGACTGTCAAGACAACCAGGTGCTTCCTATTGGACATTTAATATGTTCCCATTCCTTCGGGATTACACATGATTCCTTGGCTCCCAAAAATGAAAGCATGAACTTCTATTATGGTTAAATGCTGAGGATATGGAGTCAACGATGAAACGATCTTCCCCTGTTAAATAAGGTGGCTAATCCCGCATGCTAATTAGTTTTGGCCCTTTTCCTACCCTTTCCTCTGCTCCCTACCCTACCCCATCCCATCCCCACTTCCCCCCGTCCCTCTCAGTGGATCCTCCGTCGGGTGGGGAGTGGTCTACGTGGAGCGTGTGTTCGACCACGTGCGGTGAGGGCTGGCAGAGCCGCACACGCCTATGCGTCTCGGTGCCGTACAGCACGCAGTGCAGCGGGCCGCTGCGTGAACAGAGACCCTGCAATAACACTGTTGTGTGTCCAGGTAAGCACAGCCCACCTCAGGCCTCTCCTCACCCCCACCATCTTCCTTATCTACTTCCCGTCACCCGTCCCACCTTCACTCAAGTCCATTAGCTTTGGCCACTCACCCTCCAGCCGTGGCCCACCTGAGGCTAACTCTTCCTGGGCTTCCATGTATGGCTGCTCCCCCCTCAACCCTGGATGCTGGAGAGCCGTGGTAAGATGTTAATGGGTTTAAGTGCAGCATTGTCAGCAAACTCCCTATAGTTCCCATTGCATGTAGGATGGTCTCTCTCTCAATCTCTTTTCATTCTACCATTTCAGCATCTCAGGGGGCTAGACAAAAGTGTTACCTAGATAACAACGTGTCTTGCCAAGCTCAATGTTGTATTAAGTGCTAATCACTTTATGCAGAAAAAAGAATGATTTGCTCTCTAACATTCAGAACTTGCAGCCAAAAAATTTACTTTTGGCATACTAAATGTTCCATGTAAATTTGTGTTTTACACTACCTATAGATCTCTGTTCACACTGACAGCTGTTTTTTTCTGTACTGTTGGTAGCTAGTAGCAAAGCCTCTTGGAACAAAAGTCAGTTCACATGGCGGCTATATTTGCAATGTGGATCCTGGCGTGCAAGATCTAATCGAATGGGGAAAATCTGAAATCTCAAAAACTGGTTGACTGGTTGATCAAAAAAATTCTGGTTGATCAATGCCAATGCACATGCGCAGTCCTAAGCACGAGTCTCAGGTCTGGTTTCTGTGGGAAGCGGAGTGTCTAACAATAGCTGCAGTGCAAAATGACTAACAACTCTTTTATTTTGATGGCGTCACTCCTATTACTAGAGCCACCATATTGCGTGTTGCAGTTTTTCCAATTTATAGCAATATGAGTGAACCGTCTTGGGCATCATAGAGTCTTTCCTAGTAGGCGTTCCTGTCGTAACATTATTTGTGGGCTATGTAAATGGCTATAGGTTCTGAACATCTGATCACAAATATGATGTATTGCAGGTAAAAATAAGATGTTCTTCTGTTTGGATAGGGAATCAGTTTTCTTGCTGCTAAAAATGGAGTGGAAAATGTTCGTAAAATTGCAGCAATACATCATATCATGAACAAGATGAACAATGACCAATGCATACTGCTCAATGTGCTCCAATGCCTTCACTCCTATTGGTAGACTTCCCATTACGTCGCCTCTCATGAAACTTTTCTCAACTTTATATCATCCCAAAAAGTTACTTATGCCATCAGGAAATCGGCAACTCCCGTTGAAAATAAAATTAATTCAGATCGTTGTCAGTGTGAACCCCTCTTTAGTTTCACCCTAGTGCGTGTGTGTTTGTGTGTTGTCGAGGTGCGTTTTTCTCTCTATAAATCATGCCCTAGCCGCTCTAATTACAGTGCACGGGTCGTGGGATGAGTGGACTCCATGGAGCTTGTGTTCTTCAACGTGCGGCCGTGGGTACAGGGACCGCACTCGCTCCTGCAAGCAGCCGCAGTTTGGAGGAAACCCCTGCGATGGTCCAGAGAAACAGACCAAATTCTGCAACATTGCTGTATGCCCAGGTGATCTTTGGGTCTTTAAATACAGACTGTCTCATACAGATTTAATGACTTTCATCAAGCAGCACAATTAAAGCCTAATGTGAGGCACTGTAGAGAAAGAGATTGAAAGGAACCATTGTGAAGTTCACAGCAAATGATGGTGATTAAGTGAGGCTTTAAATCACTGTGGACTTGACTAGAGTTTGGCAACCCAAAGCTCCTCTCTCTTTCTCCTGCAATATATCTTTCAATAATGTCCCTTTTTTCATGCTCCACTTTAAGTTCCTCTCTTTTGTTAACCTAACTTTGCTTTGTATCCTCTATTCTCACATTTAAAAAATTCTCAGAAACTTTGTCTTTTACCTTAAAGTGGATGGTGTGTGGAATGAGTGGTCCAGCTGGAGTTACTGTTCCTCGTCCTGTTCAAATGGAACAATGCAGCGAACTCGGGAGTGTAACGGGCCCTCGTATGGGGGTCTGGAGTGTCAGGGTGAGTGGCATCAGACAAGAGACTGCTTCCTCCGAGAGTGTCCTGTGGATGGCCAATGGCAGCTCTGGAGCTCTTGGTGCAATATATCTTTCAATAATGTCCCCTTATCATGCTCCACTTTAAGTTCCTCTCTTTTGTTAACCTAACTTTGCTTTGTATCCTCTATTCTCACATTTAAAAAATTCTCAGAAACTTTGTCTTTTACCTTAAAGTGGATGGTGTGTGGAATGAGTGGTCCAGCTGGAGTTACTGTTCCTCGTCCTGTTCAAATGGAACAATGCAGCGAACTCGGGAGTGTAACGGGCCCTCGTATGGGGGTCTGGAGTGTCAGGGTGAGTGGCATCAGACAAGAGACTGCTTCCTCCGAGAGTGTCCTGTGGATGGCCAATGGCAGCTCTGGAGCTCTTGGGCTGGTTGTACCAAGACATGTGGTGGAGGAAGCCAGCAAAGACAGAGGGTGTGTTACGGTCCCTTTTTTGGGGGGGAGCCATGCCCAGGGGACAGAGAGGAAGTTAGACGTTGCAATGAGAAGAGATGTCCAGGTGAGACAATAACATGTATGTAGCCAAAACTCATTCTCTGCTAGGGGTGGCCGATATACTGGTAGACACAGTAAACTGGTTGAAATTTTAAAACTGGTATACATTTTTGATTACCATCTCTATCACGGCAGTGTTGCATGTTTTTATCCTTTTCATGCGTTTTTACATTTCGACACTTTAAACTTTGGAGAGATTTTAAACCACTATAGCACAGTAATATGTGAAAGAGGTCTCAATTCAGTACTTGCACACTGTTCTGATAGATGGTTTTATTTCTGAGAGACAGTTTAATTAAAACGGTCTGTCAGAACAGTGCGCATGTATTTAATTGAGACGACTTTCGCAACTTATTGTGCTGCCTGTCACACAGCATGAGTACGGAGTTATTTTTGCAGTTTATTTCACTCAAACAGTCAAATATACACAAAGTTATGTCAAAATGCCTGTCTTAAGTTAGAACATTAGGCCCATGTATTAGTTCTTAAAGTGACAGCAGCCTAATATACCTGCTTCATGTCTTCAGTAGGCTTGAGAACCTTTTACTTGTATTAGGGTTGGGCCGATAGATGATTGATAGATTGAGCCGGCATCGTGATTCCTTCCCCCCACTCCCTTTTCCGCAATCCGCTGCATCCCAATTCCTTTTCGGAAAGGAAATGTAATGTAACAGGCTACCGCTAGCAAGCGACTAACCATGTCTCTTTAGTGGCTCTGTAGAACACATTATTTTTTTTCCGTGCCTTTCTGAATACGGATTCACGCTTCAGGCACACCCCTAACTCTGTAGACATCGTCTGATGTCAATTTGGTAGACATCGCCCAACCCTAACTTGTATTAGTTAGGCTAGTATTGGTTTTTGTTATGGCATTGACATAATTAAAAAAATTATAATTTTAATGGCATCTAAAATGTTGGCATTGTAACAACCTTATTTGCAGCAAAAATAACTATATATTATGATATATACCATTATCGTAAAATACAGTTACTCTTTTGGTTATATCACTTACCCCTATTTATAGACTTAACAAGAATTATGTTTTAATTCTGTACCTTACTTGTTTCTTTGTTCACATTTTGTGGCATTGGTCAGGTTTTTTCATATTTTATGACTTCTTCGGTTTTATGCAGAGCCGCATGAGATCTGTGATGATGAGAATTTCTCTAACGTAGTTTGGAAGAAAACTCCTGCAGGGGACACTGCAGCTGTCCGCTGCCCTCCGAATGCTGTAGGTAAGACATGACTCATGCAAACAGGAACACGCCGCAATAACTTCCTAAACAGTCATCACCCTCTAAGCTATTCTGAGACATTTTCAGGACCATGGACAGCTCCACAAGCTTGGTTTAAAGAAGAAAACCAACAAGACAACATGCAGTATACAGTTTTTAACCGATCCTTGTTCAAAATCTGGTAATGACGACCCATTTCTGTGATGCAGGACTAATTCTTCGGCGATGTTCGTTGGATGATGAAGGCATTGCATACTGGGAGAACCCAACTTACATTAAATGCGTCTCAAATGATTACCGAAGTATCCAAACATTGGTAGGTGATGTCCAAACTAAGCTCTAGCTAGTAAAAGTCTGCAAAGCTAAGGTTGATTTTTTTTACCTACTCAAGACCAGAGATCATCTGTCCAAGGCTCAACGAGGGCTTGTGGGAGACGGGGTCTCTGAAGTCATGACCAAGCTGAGGGTGACGTCAAGTGATGGAACAAGCTACAGCGGAGACCTTCTGGCTATCATAGACGTACTGAAAAACATGACAGAGATATTTAGGAGGTCCTACTACAGCCCCAGTAATGCAGACATGAGGGTTAGTGAAGCATTGTTTGCTTAGTTCTAAATAAAAAAACTGTTTTGACCCAGAATGCCCCTGAATGTTTCTCTGTCATGTGGTTTTGTTCACAGAATTTTGTGCAATCAGTGAGTAACTTACTGATGGAGGAAAACAGAGAGAGGTGGGAGGAAGCACAGCTGGTGAGTCAGCCTTCACTCTCTCTCTCTCTATGTCTGTGTGTTTATTCATTCACTTATTCATTCTTACACTCACTCATTCATCATTCTCTCATTCCCTCTTTTAATGTTGGCATCATCTAACTCTCTTCATTTAGTAATTATGCAAGTTTCAGCTGGTTTTAAAGGTGATTAATTGGCTAATTCTCTTCTCTTCGCTGCACATCTTTCTTTCAGCTGTTTGTCTCCTGCTGTTTAGTTAGATCATTAGTTAGTTTACAATTTATGTATTAACGCAAGCTTCAGTTTACATTCTGAACCAAGGATATCATTAAGCTTGAGCAGCAGCAGTTATTTTTAGAAAAATCTCATATTTATTACAATAACATTTCAAATCCACTTACAGAATCACATATTGAAAGAAGAACGAACAAACTTTTTAACATGAAGCTATGTTTTTCTTTCTGGCAGCTTGGGCCCAATGTTAAGGAGCTTTTTCGTCTAGTGGAGGACTTTGTGGATGTCATCAGTCTCCGCATGAAGGACTTCCAGGATACTTATGAGGTCACCGACAATCTGGGTCAGTTTCCACTGACATTTAGTTCAGTTTACACCTCTGCAATAATGTCAGAGGGTGATGGTCATGTACTTAAGTGGTTGAATGTTTGGACAGGCAGCCTAGAAGTTGAAGCTACAACTCCAAAAAAGAACTGGAGAACATGAAGCAAATTGTACTGAAATGTAATAAACCATCTGATTAATGGTGTCCAATACTGTGGAAAGGTCTTTTAAAAGGCATTTTTAATCATGCAAGGTGTGGTGATGTACAGTGGGTACGGAAAGTATTCAGACCCCCTTAAATTTTTCACTCTTTGTTATATTGCAGCCATTTGCTAAAATCATTTAAGTTAATTTTTTTTCCTCATTAATGTACACACAGCACCCCATATTGACAGAAAAACACAGAATTGTTGACATTTTTGCAAATTTATTAAAAAAGAAAAACTGAAAAATGCTCAGTATTTAGTAGAAGCACCCATTTGATCTAATACAGCCATGAGTCTTTTTGGGAAAGATGCAACAAGTTTTTCACACATGGATTTGGGGATCCTCTGCCATTCCCTCTTGCAGATCCACTCCAGTTCTGTCAGGTTGGATGGTAAACGTTGGTGGAAAGCCATTTTTAGGTCTCTCCAGAGATGCTCAATTGGGTTTAAGTCAGGGATCTGGCTGGGCCATTCAAGAACAGTAACAGAGTTGTTGTGAAGCCACTCCTTCGTTATTTTTCAGGATTCATGAATAAAAAGTTAAAAAGAACAGCATTTATTTAAAATAGAAATCTTTTCTAACAATATAAGTCTTTACTGTCACTTTTTATATCCATTTAACACATCCTTGCTGAATAAAAGTATTCACAAAAGAAAGAAAAAAATTTTGACCAAAAACTTTTGAACGGTGGTGTATATTGTAACACAAGATTTCTATTTTGAATAAATGCTGTTCTTTTTCATTTTTTATCCATAAAAGTATCCTGAAAAAAGTATCACAGGTTCCAAAAAAATATAAAGCAGCAAAAACTGTTTCCAACATTGATAATAAATCAGCATATTAGAGTGATTTCTGAAGGATCATGTGACACTGAAGACTGGCGTAATGGATGATGAAAATGAATTTGCTTTACAGGAATAAATTATATTTTCAAGTATATTAAAATAGAAACTGTTATTTTAAATTGCAATAATATTTTACAAAATTACAGGGTTTTTTCTGTATTTTTAATCGAATATATACAGCCTTGATGAGCATAAGAAACTTTGTTTAAAAACATCTTACTGATCCCAAACTTTTGAACGATAGTGTATATAATTTGTTTAATTAAAATCAATTTAGGCTTTTGATGGTGCTGAAACAGATGACCAGTTGAAATCACCACCAACACTATTACTCACACACACTTTCACACACCTTGAACATTTTCATATTCATCAGAATGCAGTAACAGACAATATCCCTTTGGAAATCATGACCAATCCCTGAGCAATGAATCTGATATGTTGCTCACATTGCTCACACAATATGTATAGCTCTAGGCATTTTTATAGCTTTGGAATCACACTCTAAACCTCGCACATCTCGCACATCTCCAGAACGGACTATGGTTTACTCAGCACCCAGGTTCGTAAAAACAGCGGGAAGATGAACCTTCATGGTCATACGTTGTGGGCCGCAGCTGGCAGAGTTTAAAAGGGTGTGTGAGAGGTTCTGTTTACCTCTGAATCACTGAGCTGCCCATGAGCTCAGATTCTCCCTTTGTGACAACACCTGTCCTACAGCAATGACCTATCAGTCCCATGCAAAGCTTTGAGATGCAGATGTATATGTAACACCAAACATTCATCAATAGATGGAAAATAATGCACAAGAACTTGAACTTAAGAACATGAATAGTACTGTACAGAGTTAGTAACAATCAGCACACACGTACATTGATCAAATCTGGCCTACCAGTTCCCTTCTTTTTCACCAAGTAATTTAATGTCTCTACTGCAACCTAGATTTCGATGCAAAAATGTGACCCAGGACCACAAAACCAGTCATAAGGGTCAATTTACTGAAAATGAGATTTATACACCATCTGAAAGCTTTCCATTGATGTATGGTTTGTTAGGATAGGACAATATTTGGTCGAGATGCAACTATTTGAAAATCTGGAATCTGAGGATGCAAAAGATCTAAATATTGAGAAAATCGACTTTTAAAGTTGTCTAAATTAAGTTCTTAGCAATGCATATTACTAATCAAAAATGAAGTTTTGATATATTTACGGTAGGAAATTTACAAAATATCTTCATGGAACATGATCTTTACTTAATATACTAATGATTTTTGGCATAAAAGAAAAATCTATAA